TTAAAGTTAATCCTCCTGTTAATCAAGTAATTACACACTATAATATTTATAATTTTATTATTAACATTATTATTAGCTTTGTAATTTATTAAAATCCCCTGAAAAAAATCTATCAAGATCAAGTTACTTATTGGTTAGAAGAGCAATTGCTTTCCAATTGTTATTGGTTAAGCAGAAGTTGGATGCTTATAATGGTAATGAAGAAGGTAAAAATTTAACTTTTGTTTAATTGATTATATATTAACTATTAGATAGAATTGGATACTTCAGAGTTATTAGAAATTCCTAGATTTTTATTAAATAATTTACATTTTGATCACAATGAAGAAAATGATAACTCATCTCACTTCACTTACTTATTAAGTTGGTCATCAATTATGGATTACTTAGAAGTAATGAACTTAAACTTAAAGAACTCATTTATCGATAGATTAAAAGAAGCTGAACTGTTGGATGATTTAATTCCATATATTATTGATCTATTAAAGATTAAATCTAATAAGCCTTTTGATTGCTTAATTTGGAATTTTACTAAAATTCAAATCAGAGGTAACTCAACCAAATTTCTATCATGTAGTTATTAACGTTATTATAGGATTGGAAAATGATCTTGAATTAGGGTTACCTTTATTAGGATGTAATCTGTATTTTAGATTGTTGAGATGCTTACCTAGTTATGTTAGGTAAATTAACATATTATTATCCTAATGCTCTGTATTAATAATTAACTATAGACAATGGTGGAATAACTGCTCCAATCGCAAGTTAATCTCCGATTTCGAAAATTACACTCAACGCTACTTCAGCAAATACTTAATTCAAACAGAATTACACACCATTACCACCTCAGAAACTTATAAATCCCTTCAAGACTCCGATTTCACCTTAAAAATTCTTAAAAATGAAATCTTTGGTCAATACTTAATTGATGAGAATATTATTGATATTCATATTAAAATTCCTAGTAATTTTCCTTTGTTACCAGTTAAAGTTGACGGTAAAAGGCATAGTGGTGTTCCTGAGAATAGGTGGCGTGCTTGGTTGTTAAATACTAGTGCAGTATTTGTTACTCAAGTAAGTTACTTTATTATTTAAATTAATTACAGTACTAATTTATTTAAATAGAATGGAACTGTAGCCGATGCTATTCAGTTATTTAAGAAAAACATCAAATTACACTTTGATGGGGTAGAAGACTGTACTATTTGTTATAGCGTAATAGGTGTAATAGATCGTAGTTTACCCAATCGTCAATGTAAAACCTGTAAAAACAAGTTCCATTCAGCTTGTTTATTCAAGGTACTCAATATTATTTTATATTGTTAATTTATTGCTAACTAATTTTTAGTGGTTCCGTACTTCAAACCAATCTACTTGTCCCCTTTGTAGAAATATTTTTTAATTTTGAATTAAATTATATAAGTTACATAAAAAACTATTATAATAAATTTTATTTAATTATAATTAAATATTAGAGCATTGCACACTGATCCAATTTCTGGTCAATGCAAATGTTTCAATGATATTAAAGCACTGTATGCTAGGGTTTATGAAGTCTGTTAATATAGCTTCTAAATATACAATACCTGAAAAAATTCATTTTCAGATGATGAATAATCGATAAATTATATACCATATATCAAACTCGATTTATAAATCCATATGTAAATGGATTAGATAAGCATTAATAGTCAATAGATAAATTTATCTAGAAATGGCTGGCATTATTTATTATATAGCATATATATAGATATAAGTTCAATAGTATAAGCATTTTCTTTAATAATAAATTTAATAATTAATAATTAATAGATAAATTTAATAATATTTATTTATAGCTGAGCCGTTGTAGTATAGTGGTAGTACGAAGCGTTGTGGCCGCTCAGACCGCGGTTCGATTCCGCGCAACGGCATTAATTTTTATAGTTTATAATTTAACTATAATCAAGACTTATAAATTAAAGTAAACAATTATACTTGTATACTTTTCCCTCTAAGCTATAAATTATCTAATTATTGTTCAATATTTACTATATTTTTAATCCTGATCGCTTTCAGCATCATTTTTACCCAAACGATGGTGATACAGACCGCAGGCTAGGGTTAATTCATCAAAAGTGTATTTTCCACAGCTTTTTTAAGCCAATAAGAGTTTAAATAGGTATTCAGTATCGGTTAAATATAGGTAGTTTCTTTAAAATAAATCAAATCATATATAATATCATGAAGAATTAAATGTCAAATAATGATAATTTATACTATATTAAAAATTAAGTGCATTATTTATTCAACTTGGACTTAGCTTTAGGTTGTGGTACAGGGCTAGAAACATTAGATGGGGGATTTTGAGGCCTGTGAATTGATAGGGGTGACTCTGGTCTTTTAGGAAGATTATTGTGTGATACGTTGGGGGAGTTAGGTATACTTGATGGACTTGTCGCTATAGTTGAAGCCCTGTTAGCTTTAGTTTCTGAGGCCTGAGGCTGGGAGGCTATTAATAGAATTGTTTAGGCTCTCTATCGAAAATATAAAAGTCTAGCTCTAATTTGAGCTTATTTTACCTTGTTTTCTAGATTTTTCGTGTTTAGTTTGGACTCCGCGGAAGTGAGATAATAACTCAGGGAATTTAAGTCCTGCATCTTTACTATCTGACGATTTCAATACTCTTCTGAGGGGATCAGTATATCTAGAACCTCCGGATGATGGGGTACTGTTAACGGATAAGAATCCCATTGAGGATACACAAGAAAGACGATTTTTCAAAGTTACAAATGCTGATGACTGAGGCAGAAGCATTAACAAACCATACATACATTTGAATAAATAAGGGTATCTATCTGGTTCCAACAGTTGAAGTCTTAAATATGTGAAAACTGGCGATTCTAATAGTTGAACCAATTTATCAATTTGAATTAGCATAGCAACTGAGATTTCAAGCTCGGCCATTGAATGTAGTAAATTGGCTGCATGCTCATATGATTGAGCAAGTAAACATAATGAAAATGCAGATACAGAGCTATGACACCATGACTTATACAAACATGAAAATAGTACTTGGCTATCTTTACTATCAAGACTCTTAAGTCTCTTTCGAAGATCTGATAATTCAGGTGATGTCATTAAAATTAGGTTAAGGTTTTGAACCATCATTGCTGCAAACTCCAAATCTTTATCCTTTTCCAATATTGACGCAAAAGTACGGTAAATTTGCTCAGAGTCAAGGGATAAGCAAAGTTGACGAATAATTAATGAACCCCTATTTTCTAAAAGACGACGATCTGTACTAAATAAAGAAAGTAAATCAGCCATAAATTTGTAAAAGTACTCCTTATCGGTATGAGATGAAATTTGTGCTAAAAGTCTTAAATCTCTTTTTACGACTTCTTCTGAAGGATCACTCAAAGTTTTAAGCAAAACGGGAAAAGTGCCATCATCTGGCGTGAATGTCTTGTTAGGCGCTTTTTTGTGAAGCATTAGTAACCAGTCTAAGCTTGAAATTCTTGGAGATTCATGTGTATTTAAAAACTGAAGAGTCAAGCTATTAACCATCAGCTGATAATCAAACAAATCGTGCTCTGTGTCCATTCTAGATTGACAACGAGATTCTGTAGTTTTTTGTGAAACTGTATCAGCCTGGTGCTCTGAGTTTTCATAATTAGTTTCTGATGTTAATTCAGATGGTGGTCTTTGAGATGCATTTTCTGATGGAACTGGAGACTTTGCAACTATTGAAGGAGATGGCTGGATTTGATAAGAATCTTCGACGAGTGAAAATAAATTTTTATTGCACTCCGAGGCACTGTGCTGAATATTGATGTTAGGATGAGCTAAGCATGGCAAAACTGACTCTATCAGCTGTGGCATCATAGGAAGAATGACATCAGGTGCTAAATTAATGAATTCATCTATCCATCTCAATGCTGTTTGTTGAATCTCTTCTTCAGAAGATTTTAAATATGGTAACATTATATTAATAATAGGTTCATAAGCAATCTTTACTCCTTTACCAGGCTCCCATAATCCATCATCATTAATAGTGTTATCTTGTCTAGCGCTTAATCTAATTTCTCTTAGAAAATCGGATAGCAAAACATGCGTAATAGTTTTTACATCAGAACTTGAATCAGATAGGAATTCCATTAAACCACCTAAGAAAGCTGGAAGGTAAATTATAAGCTCTAGATCAGGAATTGAGTTTAACAAAGCAATCCAATCTACTAAAAAGCTCTTTGAAAGACGCTCGCCGACATTCATCCTTTCAGTGAGAAGAGGTAAAAATCCTGGAAGATTGAAGCGACTAGTTTTAGAATCGATTAAAGGCTGTTCTCTGTGATTAGATACTGAGTTAAGAGGATCGTGATGGGGACGAGGATCAACACTCTGTTCAGTTAAAATATCTTTTAATAATCTATTCAATAGAGCTGAGCCATTTTTTGTTGGTGCATCATTTTCAATTGACATGTTACAAAGCTGATCAAAAATAGGATTGAAATGACGCAATATAGACTCTTTAGCTACTTTAGCTACGTTATACATAGCCTCACAGGCATAGTACCTAACTCTAGTATCTGGATCTTCTAGACATATTAACATCGCCTCGATAATAGGATCCAAATAAGGGTCAATATCCTGGAAAAATAAGTTTAGTTTAAAAATTAAAATTAATAGTTTAAAATAAACGATATTACCTGTCCTAAGGCAATAGCCACCCCAGCTAAGCCTATTAAACCACCATTTCTTAAATTTATTTGGTCAGATTTAATAAATTCTTTTGATAAAAAAGCTATTATTTGATGAATACTTTGATCATCAGAATTGGCCAAATGAGTTCTTATTACTCTAAAAAGTAGAGAAAGAAAAGAGCATTAGCTTAAGTACATTATATGTTTAAATTATTTTTATAGTTAACTAATTCTATTAAAATCAAGTTACCTTTCAATTTCAAATGCAGCCGATTTCCTTTTATCATAAATTTTATCACTTAAACCTCGAATAACATTAGGCTGAAGCGGGGGTAATTCTGATCTTATATCATCCATACTTTGATCATTCCTCCCTTTGTAATATAAATCTATCTCTTTGATTATGAACGAGTAGAGTTTTTTTTGCTTTATGATTTTGTTTAACTGAATTTTGAATTAAGCTTAGTAAGGAGTTGGGAGTTGTGATTGAAAAAATTATGGGAAATTAAAATTGCGTGTAATCAACAGTCCTAAATTATTCAAGCTACTAAAAGCAATTTTAGCGTATTAATGCTACAGCATTTAGTAAGGTTTGATTAATATGACAACTTGCGCTACTCTATTAAAATATATAAAAATTTAAATATATGCTTAAGAAAATATTTGCTATCTTTTTAATCATTAATATATATTTTATATGCTCTAAAGATATAATAAAAACTATCATGTGAATATCAAAATGAATATTAAGCATTTTGCAAATTTTAAAATTTTGTAATAATAATTAACCCTGAATCCATGTAATCAGTTCTAATATACACCAAGACTTCAAAAGCTGCTTATCTTTAAAAGCTATGCTGGAGATATAAGTTTAATTTTATGTAGTAAACGTTTTTGTGGTTTAGTAAAACCAATAATATGATATTGAGTATATAATCACAAGATATTGGCATAGAAAATCTTTGACTCATAGTGAAACTAGTCGTTTGGATTTAGTTCTACTCTATTTCAGCTTCTATATTGCAAAAATATACTATAATCTAGGCATTTTAATTATATCATATAGATCTAATGCTGGCAAGAGACATCATAGAGATATATTTCTAAGCTGACTAATTGACAGATGCCTCAAGTTTCCCACAATGTAATTAAAAAGTAAATCAGACTATCATTTTAAAACCAGTCATACTTTTTGAAACAAGCCAAATTAAAATTACGCAAATTTTTAATAAATACCAATTTGTTAAATATAACAAGTATTAAGCGATAAAGATGATATACACATATAATTCACATTGTCTTTGATAATCTGGTTTAAAGCGATCTCTATCCTCTTATGCTAATAAACTGACTAGATATAATCCATTCACATTTTACCAAGAAATAAGAAAATAATTCAAAAAGCAGCCTGTAGTGAGAGTGAATTAAGGCTTAAGTGGCTTAATATTTAAAAAATATTGACATTCCACTTCACTAAATCGACAACTAATCTTATACCTCATAACTCTTCCCATTCCTTTGACATAAAACTAGGGTTAACTTTGAAAAATGTAGTTTATAGTGATTAATAGAAACTTTAGCATTGTCTGGAATTTTTTGGTTATCAATTAATAATAGCAAATTTAATATTTTATGGATGTTAAATATGGCAGATAATTGTTCCTACAAGATAAATTTCGCTAATATCATTAGTGATAAGAAATCAGCCAGTTGAAAAAATAAGGTATAATAAGGGAAAATTATAATTAACACAAAAGTGGTCACCTGCGCAGTTGTTAACACATCACTTAATAAACTCTAATAAAAGTATATAAAGCCAATTATGGCATTGCCTATTATAGAATTAAGCATATTATAAATGCTTGAAAAATTAAACTCTCGCCAAAAGTTAATTAAATACTGCTTGAGCTATGGTAATTATAGAGGCTTACCGGGATAAAAGCGATCAGCTAAT